CGATTCTGGTTTATTTTGCAGTATGTGGGCGAGCGTCGCTGAGTGGCTTTCTCAGCTTCAAGCTCACGTGCAGTTTTACCGTACACACATCTTGTGCCGGATGCAATCAAACACGCTGGCTTTTCGCAACATGACACCTCTGCTCTGTACCCCAGTGGTACTCTAGCAGCACCCACCTTGACCAGTGACTGACTTCGTGTCTTTTTTACCAGTTCACTCGCATTCAACGCGCTCTTCTCTAGGCGTTTCTTTACTCTTTGCCGACTTCACCGACTTGTTTGGAACTGGTACGCCTGAACCAGCAGATTTGTGTGATGGTGAAGTGCACAAGATGAAAAAATTGCTGCCAGACACCTGTCATTGGGCTGAAGGAGATAAGCGAAAATTTTGCCTGGGCGGAGGAAGTAGTTTTATTGATTGCGGTTATCAAATTATTGTCTCCTCGCCGTGTGTTTAACTTTGGAATTAGTTGCTTTTTCTATTGATTTACTCATAATGGTCTTTTTGCCCGTATAAGAGGCTTCAGTTACAGTTTGCACTGTCATCAAAACAACACCCATGTGCGTTTCACATGCACATACAGGTACTTGTATAGCTGGACATGTCCATGTTGTTCCAGCAGCAATTCATGATGCAGATGAAGCATCTGAACTGCCAATTTGTGGATGCATGCAGGCAGGCACAGTGGGTTGGTCTAAGACCATGATTGAGAAATGAGAGGTACCAGGTTCAAGTCCTGCTTGGAAGCGGAAGGATTTTTTCCAACCGTGCTGCGACCCACAGTTAATTGGGAACTGGTGGCCTGGAATGAGTAATACATGGATGTGGCAAATGGGATTGACGCCTTTGGCCTCCGGTGGGTGGATCAGATCTATCCTCCCCCACCGTTTAGGAGCCGAATCTGACGCCTGATCATGGAGTGGTGGCGTCTCACGGAAGCGGAAAGGTGGTTCTTGACCAGGGAAATGTACGACTCCTTGTTCTTGACCTGCCCAGTACGCGAACCGGTCGAATTTATTTATTATTATTATTATACATCCTGTACGTACAAGCTGTTGAGCGCTTGAGCCCACTCTTCTGGTCTACACAGCATTGCACTCATTTCCGTTCGCATGCATTCCTTTGCTTTAGTAATATTCCTTTTGCTTTGTTGGTCGCATTCTCCTCAGCCAAGCAATGTCAAACATGGGTGCTGTGTTTGCACTTAGCATTGTCTGGCATGCGCTCTGCTGTTCCAATGAGATTTTCACGAGGGTTTCTGTCTACCGTATTTTCCGGGGTATACGCCGCACCGGGGTATAAGCCGCACCCCCTTTTTGAGGCAAAATATTGACTAAAAGTTGGTATTCGGAGTATAAGCCGCACCCACAAACCAAGATTTTTCACACTCATTGACAAATGGCCTTTCTACAAATTATAGGGTACCTCACTTCAAACTTTCCAACTACGGTCTCTTCGCTGCATATGGTCACTTCACTTCCAAAAAAAACAAATAATATTAGATATAAATTGAATGCACCAAATTTTCGGGCATGGCCCATCTTCAGGGTGAAAAAGAAAACCATTCAACTAAAGCTAACAAAAACTGAAACGAGTATATATGCTGTGTGGTGCGGTAGTGCTGGAAATCTTTGTATGTGTGAAGGGTAGCAGCAATGGTGAAGTGTGTTGGTAGAAAGGGAAGGAGCGAAAGAGACCAGTGGAGAGCTGTGTCTGTAAGTGTGAATATGTGTTAGTGCGATCGAGACATTACTACGAGACAACGACTACCCACAACACGCTATTCAAGCAGCCAAGCACCATGCAAGCACACCAAGACCATCATCCACCAGACAACGACAACAATCGTACACATCCATCATCAAACTGCCCTTCGTCAATGACCGTTTGGCACGTGATGTTCGTCGTACGGTGAGGTCTTTCAGTAAGGATGTGCGTGTGGTGTTCCAGTCCGGTCGGTCACTAAGGGACATGTTGGTATCGTCATCATTGTCCCGTCCTGAATGCCCGAAGGAAGTGTATAAGAAGAGAAGAGGGAGGGGGCGACCAGTTGAATGTCGTGCATGTGATGCTGGTATGGAGAGTGGTCAATGTTTGTCTCAGGATGTTATCTACTTTTTTTTATTTTTTATTTTTTTTGAGAACGGAAAGCGGCAGCAGCCTGCAGGTCTTATTCGATAGTGAGGAAAATGTTATCAACTCCAAAGCACGAAAAAGGCCAAAAACTAAACCAAGAACATATGCAATAACATGTTATTTATAAAGACAGGACAAGTGAATAATTAGTCAGTCCATTGTTCATGATGATCTCCGACGGTTACGTCGGCAAGCGAGCCTCCGCCACTGCCAAAGCAGCGTGGGCTCCGCAGGAGGGTGCAAATTTCAAACCAAAATTTAAACGCCTACAACCGCGAATGCACATGATACAGGATTTCAGAAGGCTGAAGGAAATCCTGCATCTAACAAATGCCATAACATGAGAGTAATGCTCACCCCTCTTCTCCGCCAACAGATGAGCAATTCGTTTGTACAGTGCTGTTGATGCTGGACCCATTCCGCCACTGGCTGACATGACCGCCGGAACAAAGGAGGCTTGCTCAACCTGCCTCACCCGCTCCTCATAGTGCCTTCTCTTTTCTTTTTCATGTCGCTGATACACAATAGTATGTGGTGCAGATCGATTTGAGCGTGAGTGAGGATTAAAAACCCGTATATCAATAAGTATGTTATCTACTCGATGTTATGTGCACTTTGCGCCGAGGAGTACGTTGGCGAGACCGAGCGAACTGCAAGGAAGAGATTTGAGGAGCATTGCAGAGAGGCCAAAGCGCAAGCGCTGGAGACGCCATGGGGAGAACACTATGCAGAACACCACCCACAACAAGCAATCACATCTACACCCATCACCAACGCATCAATTCTCGCCAAGCAGTCGTCCCTTGTGAATCGTCGTATACGTGAAGCAATGTTCATTCGTGATAAACGCCCAAGTGTTAACAGGGATCGTGGCTGGAGACTGCTGGACACAGTGTGAAATTATTGTGTTAGATGCTGGTGTTGTAAATTGTGGTAGACTGTGATGTTGCGAATATATTATGATAATATTTGATATTTGATGTTTATGTGTGTTAGCTGGTTATATGGTTATATAGTGCTTAGCAAATAGTTGTCGTCATCTTTGTCTTCACACCCATGGACCCAACTACATTGATGCTTTGCATTCTATTCTCCATGTCACTAACACATATTCACACTTACAGACACAGCTCTCCACTTGGCTCCTTCACTTTCTACCAACACACTTCACCATTGCTGCTGGTAACCACACCTCTCGTGCTTTCCCTTCACATCGCACTAACACATATTCACACTTACAGACACAGCTCTCCACTGGTCTCTTTCGCTCCTTCCCTTTCTACCAACACACTTCACCATTGCTGCTACCCTTCACACATACAAAGATTTCCAGCACTACCGCACCACACAGCATATATACTCGTTTCAGTTTTTGTTAGCTTTAGTTGAATGGTTTTCTTTTTCACCCTGAAGATGGGCCATGCCCGAAAATTTGGTGCATTCAATTTATGTCTAATATTATTTGTTTTTTTTGGAAGTGAAGTGACCATATGCAGCGAAGAGACCGTAGTTGGAGAGTTTGAAGTGAGGTACCCTATAATGTGTGAATGGCTGCAATGGAGTCTGCGAGTGCTTAGCAAAGCCTTTCTACAAATTAATTTTATTATGGTTATGGAGCTAAATACCATGTTAGATCAGATTATGAAGTGTTAGTGCAGGTTGCTGCAGAGATGTTGGTGTATTGCTGTGTTGACTACAGATCGCTCCATGTCATCTGCACTATCTTCAGTCTCGCTGCCACTGATGCACTAAAACTAGTAAAAGTGCCGGGATAGCAACACAGGCGCGAAGCTGAGTCGAATGACATGTCACATGACGTCAGCATCCATACTGATGTATGTGTAGTATCCCTGACTGTCAGTAATCACACAGCCACATCTCTACCAGTAGTTACATTGTAGTTCACAGGAACATTCTATCTAAGTGCTTCTCACGCGCAACCACTTAGGACTAGATAGCCCTGCTTGCAAGACCAGTACGGCATGACCTATTGCGTTCATGCTGTACTAATACATTACATTGATTCCTGTATAGTCCGTTCCCCATCACTGACCCTCTTGATCCCTTGCGAGATTCCTTCCCGGTTCTAGGCATCCAACAGCTTTCTTCCCCGAATCCATATTATTGTTCATCCCTAGCTCACACACATTCAAAGGTCTTTTCCTTAGATCTTTCAACAGTTGTCTTCCTAGTAATCTTTTGCCCTCGCTCCCAGCTGCTCTCTCCCTCGCTCCCAGCTGCTCTCTCCCTCTGGCCTATATAAACCCATCATTCTTTCTCATTGCTGTGTGGAATTATGAAGTGAAGAGTCTAAGCCCAAGAGCTTGTTTTCCTCCCGCTAGTGCTGTCAGCCTGTATCTCTTTCTGTTGTAAGCCCAAAGTGCCTCAGACACGAGCAGGCTGGCAGACACTACATATGCTAAGCATTCATCCGCGCAAGCATATTCGGTGTATAAGCCGCAGGGGCGATTTTGGTCCGATTTTTAGCGAATAAAAGTGCGGCTTATACCCCGGAAAATACGGTACTCATATTGTGTGGCCCAAACTTAACCAAATCCGTCATACTGTTGATGCTGAATAATGGTCGTACCCTTGCCCTACATGTATACTGCCACCAGGGGAAAGAGCATTCAAAAAGCACCATAATCCAGTCATACATGTATAATGTATGAAGGGCACACCATCTGAATGTGTAATGTATGAAGGGCACACCATCTAGATAGGCAGAAATGCCTTTTGGGGTCCCGTACCCAAGAAGCGATCATTCAAAATTAGTACATGTACATGTACATTTACATGTGTGGCTACTGCTATCGCTGTAGTCGAGCTAACACCTCCTTAATGAACACCTGAACGTGATTGGGTGGAGAGTTTGGATAAATTGAATTTAGACAATTGATGCAGGACCGTTTGAATTATTGTGACAATCAGGAACAAGTTGATTTAACGTCACTAGAGACGAGCAATTAGAAGGAGGATGGGAGAATAACCGATGCAGTCGGGGTGTATTTTTTTGGAATGCCAATGGCTCAACAGAGTCCTGAATGTTGAAATAAGAAGAGAGGTGAAATATATTGGACACCAGAATGCAGAGTTTGCTAGTTGGGTATATTGATGCCAGAAGACAGAACACGCAGTTACAGTGCACAATTATACAAAAGCAAGTCATTTGTGAAAGAACAGAGAATAGACGGAAACGGTGGGGGTACGGAAAATGAGCATGCCAAGTCCTGAGAATTTTGGCTTTATTTGAAAACAAACTGGGTGTTGGAATGAAGAATTCGAAAAGCGCAAGCAAAGAGGGCATGCAATGGTGACAAATCCAGTCAAGGAAATAGGAAAAATCAAATCAAATAGCATGCCAAGTCCTGCTATGGTTGTGCCAAATCAGCAACTTATGCAACCATGCAACTGTGCTGACGTCACTGAAAACATGTACGCCTTGTGAAGTCGTATCACAGGCACATGTACTCGGACAGCCAACAGTAGCAGCCTAACACCAGGCATCGTATGAAAATGTCAAGCTACAGAACATGTACATACATGTCAGATAAACCTTGTAGAAAGGTCACTGTTTCCGAATACTAGTACTTAGTACGGTGTCCTCCACCTCGTTACATGCTGTCAACCAGCAACATGTACATGACATGTCAAGCTACAGTGTACACGTACGTGTATGTGTATGTGTATGTATGCAAAATGTCAAGCTACGTACATGTACAATGTATGTGTATGCAAAACATAATTATACCACAGCGTTCATGTATGTTGAAATTTACGTCGCGTACTTCTATGGAGTTTACAAGGGATGTGGAAATGAACACGGCCTTGCAGTAGCAAAACCAGGAAATCATTGGAAAAGTCAGCAAAAATTCCCAAAAAAACGCTGCTGGAATCCACACAAAAATGGCATAAAGTTTGGAGGTACAGAAGAAATGGGCTGGTTAACTCAAGCACTTTACAATTATTTCATGGAAAAAGTGGCTAGCCATGTTCAATAGGGATGTGACCGCCCAGGAAAGTTGGGGGGGGGGGGGGAGTTGGACGCGTGCTCTTGGACAAAATGAAACACATGAGAAGTATCAAGATCTTCACTGACATGAAGGGTGTGTAATCATGAATATGTACATGCAGTGTACCGTGGGTGCACTGTTGGTAGGCGTGTGCCTGATTGGATACTGGTTACCGTGAACAACAGCAACAATCATGGATAGGAAGGAAGGTAAAAATGTTACGAGTTATTGACATTGGGTCACCAATCGACTTCAAAGAACAAGCAATCAAACTTGGACTAGGCTTTGGCCTGTAATCTTAAAGCCACAACTTCCTTGACATCTGCGGGATCCCTGCTGTTTTCAACTATCATCATTCTCAGCTTAGGCTTAGTCTGTGGCAGGTCGTTGTCCGAGTCAGCTTCGTCCTTACCTCCGTTCGTGGCTGCGCTTCTTGTCCTGTCCAATTCCGTGATGGAGTAGGCGGCATTCGATGTCAGCGCACGTGATTCATTCGCCTTATCCAGGGCCTCGCTTGAACCTAGTTGGGCGTTATTTGCAGTGAGGTCAATCAGGGTGAGATTTCCAGATGCGTTCGCTTCCTCCAGCGCATCGCTTGAACCTAGTTGGGCGTTCTCTTGGGTGTGTGTGTTGCTTGGAAGTCGTTCAGAAGTTGCCCTGTCCAACCTATTCGACGCTTTCGGACTGGACACGAGGAAATCCCTGGCGCAGGTTGACAGCGGAATGATTGGCTTTACTTTGGTGGGCTTAAAGCGTTCCTCGGGAGCCACCGGTGGCAGAGAGACAAGACGAGGCGTTTCGCCTTCTTCTAGGGACGTCTTTCGGCTGCGCTGTTTCTCAGGCTTTGGCAGATTGTGATTCTCGTATCTGGGTCCGAGGGAGCATGATCGGTTTACCGTTGCTCTGCGCTGCTTGACCTCGTCCAGGTATGTCTGGACTTGATCTGGATGAGTGATCTCTTCGGGACATGCCACAGCATTTTCAGCCTTTCCAGCGAAACTGCGCCCTGACGGATCTTGCTGTGACCTCGAATCGCAGTGGTTGAGCAGTTCACTTGAAAGCGCTAAGGATGGCGCCATTACAATATATTGACTATCCTCGTCGATCATGTCACCGCCACCGCCTTCCCTGTCCACGTCCATGTACTCTATGTCCAGGACATTCTCCCCGCTGCCCTCCTCCCTTGCGTTAGCATCAGAGGGGAAGTGGGCGAACGCCACGTCCGCGGAGGCATTGGCTGTCACCACCGTACTGACTTTCTCCCTTGTAGCCTTGCTGGGGATAACAAGATGACCGCGCCATACTACAATGGCCAGCAAACCAATGGCGGTGGCCACGAATGTGACAATCATCGATACGCCAATCACCCATGCCTTCAGTCCGCCGGAAACTGCAATAGTGGAGACCAAAACAAGAAGTACACACATCATCATCATCTTTGTTGCCAAAAAAAAATAATAGTAAAATTAAAAAATAATAATAATAAACGGCATTATGCAGCTGTGTTAGCAGTAGATGCACAGTGTGACTGCCAGGCATCTCTGTCAGATGCCAACTGGCAATTCTCATGCAGAGACATACCAGTCCACACAGGGACATTGAAAAGAAGAAACCAGTCAGCAGCCGCACGACTACGACTTGTGGCATAGTGGATTGGATAAACATTCCGTACTAGACTGACTGGAATCATAATTATTTAAAAACAATCATACCTACATGCACAGCCCTTCCAGTCCCCATTTTGTTTCCTTTGGTGAACATGTGCAGGTGTGATGCCGAGACCCTTGGTCGGCTGAGCTTTACAGGTCCCACCCACTCCGTCCTGCTGGATATGTACTATTGTGTCGAGTTCTCCTCCTCATTTTAGTTCATCATCCGGTGAGTGCTCAATAGTAAAAAATAAATTAAAAAACGTGCACATCGGATTGTATTGTATTTTATTTGATCATTTTACTTGGGAAGTCGCAACCCACCCAAAGGTGCTCTTACAGCGTTCCCAAGGTACACCTACTGGATACAACCCACGGTTCTAATTTATTATCTTAGCTCTACAGCAAAAAAAACTATCACAATGCTACTTATTATGCCAGAAATTCACCAGTAGCAAGCGTGCAAAAATGCCTTGGATTGTACAGCCTTGTGCACGTTGCGTAGTTTCAAGTACTTTATCACACGTTTGCGCGCGTTGACATCACCAAGCAAGCTTGGCTAGTCTTCGCATAAGCCAAATGAACAAAAGAAATGAGGAACGAGCGAGGCCGATGAGGTGAACACACGCGTGCAACTGCAGAATAGGCAAAATGTATAATACCTGTAGTAGCCAGTGCAGGCTAAATTTTATTTTTCAAGGAAACCCTTCGAAAATGGTACCAATCGATTCAGCATGGCATTTTCATTCCTCCTGCGAAGTTTCAGCTGATTTGGAGTCATGACAAGGACGCTATGTAGGCCTTGGCGGATAATGCTCGAAAAGGTGGCAGATTCTGCTTTTTTTGCACCGAAATTGGCAGAACCATACAAACCTTATGGCGGGCAATTCCTCGAATTCTGCTCCATTTCTTTATCCACATACCAAACATGCATGAAACTTACCAGAAAAAGTACCGAATTCTGCCAATTTTTCTGCCGGCATTATCCGCCAAGGCCTAACGCTATGGCGATTTGAAGATCGAAAAACTTCAGTTTTGTTTGTCAAGAAGAAAGGCCATGATCGCACACAAATCATACAACCCGTGTGGCACAATAATTTTTGAACGAAGTTGATCCGCGGACCGCGTGCTTCGCGCATGCACGCATGCATACTTGCATGATACTGCACAGTGCAGAGGCTTTTTTGAACGCAGATATGTAGTTCTTCGTCTTCTTCGAAATGTCTTCCAAATGCGTGGTGCTGGTGTTGTTCTCAGCTTCGTCAAGGCAGAATGCAGCTGCATGTGATGCTCCTGTGTGTTCATGCATGTTCTCTTTTCGCGTCTCGACATTGTAGCGTCCAGACTCAGCTCGACTGGAGAAGATTGAGGAGACTATGCTTTGATCCACATGGAAAATCGATGAAATTTGGTAATTATCGTCGGGCGCTAAAAAGCGCTGGGGAGCATGGGGCTAAAACTTCGTAGCAGTCATCCCTACCATGACAGGCATCGACTGGTATATGTTCCATTCTGTTCCCAACCACTACGGGTCGTCTGCGAAGCTTTCTTCTTCGCCGATTCTCGGACAGATCGTACGTCTTCGCACTGTATCTCTCGTCTCCCTCAACGGATCAAAACACGGTTTTCGCCAGGACGAACACAAACCCCCAGATTTCGCGGCGGCAACATCTTCGAGTAGGAAAAAGCTAGCAGCTAACCAGGAATCACCAACAAACACGTGTAATACTCAGTGTGATTTGCGACAGCTGTCATTGTGCCGTCGCACCATGCATGTGCCATGCACGGGAATGGAACACGGATGAGTCGTTTTATTACGACAGCCTGCACTGGCTACCTGTAGTACAAGAGTCCTAAAAACACACGAAATGTCAACTATTTACTTCAACAAATATAACTGGAAACGGATGAATACAGAAGAATCAAGTACATGGTACTGGAAATTTGAAAAAATCGAAGTCATACTGTTAAATGTTATGCTGCTATTGCTCCATCATGCCAGTTCTGAGGAGAACTTCCACTATGTCAGCTTGTGGCTTGTAACATCAAGAACAACAGAAGATATGCCAGTTCCCACAGGTCCAGCAGCACCGTTTTCCTTGTGTTTGTCCTAGCTCATGACTAGTGGTTCTTGCTGGATGCAGGACTTCTACAAGTCATTTTTGCTTGAATGCTCGCCTTTGACATGCGATTTGAGGGCTCTCTTCAACGCCCGCAGTTAATGGGATTTCGGTCTTTGACGACTTTGTGGTCGGTTTGATCTACTCACCTTCCATCGCATAGGAGCTACATCTGCGCCTTGATCCTAGAGGGCGGTGGCGTTCCCACGGATGCGGAAAACTCGTGAATTTGTTTCCAATGATTGCAGTTCAGCTCTCCCAGCGATGCAGAGGAACAACACTCCTTTTAGTCGTGGGAGCTTATTTTGCTTTTCATTCTTTCTATGTGCATGTCATGCATTCTTGGTTGTTTGTTTTAGCTTTTCTTCCTTGCGCTGTTTCTATCACCTCGCTACTGTACTTAAATCTAGTGTCAATGTTCATTTGACTGCCTGTATTTCGCCTGACCATAAGGCTTGAAAGTATACAGTCTACTGGCGAAAACCTTCAAGATGTTGTTCAAGAGCCTGAGTTATTATTATTATTTATTCATATTTCACTAGGGCAGTCCCCACAGACTCAAGGCCTTCTTAAGGGATACCCTAAGAATGAAAGTAATGCATGGCGAAATAGGGATGGCGATGCAGTAGCGCGGATATCAGGTGAAGTGTGACCTTCTTTGTGCTATAGCCAACTTGCATTTCCTCTTGACAATACGAGTAGTGCAATTTAACCTTAATCTCAGTAAAGATACCGTTGTTTGGAGGCGGAGAAGTGAAGAGTTATAAGATTGATACCATTTTAGTCATAAGTACGCGTGCTCACCTGATTCGGGCAGCTTGTAGCAGACGGTTCCGTTACCATGGTAGCCCGCGTCACAGTGACAAGCATAGTTGCCAGGGTGATCTGTACACGTGGCGTACTCATCACAGTTGTGCGTTCTGTTGCTGCATTCGTCCACATTGTAGCAACTCGTGTTGCTCGCGTCATGTGGACTGTATCCATAGCGACAATAGCATCCGTAGCTACCGGGAACGTTGCGGCACTCGGATGCGGCGCCACAAGGCGATGAGCCGCACTCGTCGACGTCAGAACAGTAGAATCCGTTCCCTGCGTATGCTAAGATGCAGCTGCAAGTATAGCTAGCGTCCACATTTTGACAAATGGCATTCCTCGAGCAGGCGTGGCTGCCGTCAGAGCACTCATTGATATCGTGGCAATCCCCAGAGTGGTGTCGTCTGAAGCCAGGTTTGCACTCACAGACGAAGCCTACAGCGCCTGTGCCCGTGTATACATGTACTTGGTTGGTCCCACACGGCGGAGGGAGTGTCATATTCACATTCCGACATGCTTCGGTCCTGCCCGTACCGTTCAGAATGGCCCCAAAGCCGAGCAGACAGATACATGCGAAGCTGCCTTGGAAGTTCTTGCACGTGGAGTTCCCCACGGCCGAACACGGAGCGTCCCTGGTGCATTCGTCGATATCCAAGCACGTCTGGTCGGACTTGGTACTGTAGTATCCTTTTATACAATCACACCGATAACTCCCCACTGTATTCATGCACACAGACGTAGCCGCGTTGCATTGGTGCTGCGCATTCACGCATTCGTCCATATCCACGCAACAGTGGTCAAGGCGCTGAAAGCCAGTTGAGCATTTGCAGGAGACGTTCGGAGCGCAGCTCTGCGGCCGGGAACTTTGCGTCGCCGAAACGGGACTCCGTGGCAAGAAGAGTGATGAACAATTCGAATGACTGCTAGGCGATGGATCAGGACAAGAGCAGGACGGTACACTCTCGCATGTGAGTTGACATGAAGTTCCGTTGGGGTCCTCTACGCTTTGGCCGCAATCTGTAGCCATAGAGCGAAAAACATTGATGTGTTCATTAGTTGATAAAGGGGGGGGGGGGAGGGGGGGGGGGGGGGTGTCAACTGACAACCGCACTATTTAGTTGCTATTCACTCTTTGCGCATGCGCTAGATTCATTAGTTGAGGGGGAAAGTCTGAAGAAAAAATTGACTCGAAACAGGTGAAATTTTGCTTCAGAAGTAACTTCTAAATGCGTTGAGAGTGATGGTGGCGGGGAGGGGAGGGGGGGGGGGGTAAGAGTGTTAGCGGTGTAGGGGGTGGTGCAGTTGCTGCTGCTGCTGTTGCTGCTAATGGTGCAAGGAAATGTGATGGTGGTGCATGTCTCCCAACGCTCCCTCACTGTTTCCATTGTGCCTCGCAACGACCAGCAAGCAGGCCATGTGGAGCAAGTGGAGTACATATACATGTATGTGGAGCGTTTCACACATGCTACTCACAGACACAGTACGTTGCCAGGTCAGCCTTGATATCGTCCAGCGCAATGTTGCCCAATGCACCATCGTACGTACCCCTGAACCGCAACTGTAATTGTCACAATACACAACGCCAATGATAACACAATTTGAGAGCACGCTTGAGACTAGATTTGTTTTTTGAACTTTGTTTTACTTCGCAAAATCCAAACGGGGATTTCTTCAGAAGAGAGAGAGAGAGAAAAAAAGAAAAAGAAAAAAGTGTGTATGCACTGGAAATGATAGTCAGCTGGAAATCAATGGTACGAATCCATTGTCAAACATGACATTTGCCACTGTTGCATGTAGTCGAGCAATTGCGTAGGCTGCAGCCTTGAAGGTCTCCAGCGTTGTGCTGGAGCGGACGTCTCCAGGTAATCTGACCCATTTACCTGTAGCGTTGAAGGCGTACCGTAGATTAAAGCTGGTTTTCATCCTGAGGACGCCACCACCTTCAATTATCAATCATACATCCTCGATAGTAATGCAATGATGTTTGAGACGTTTTTTGCATTATCCGCGATAATGAGCATTCGTAAATCTAAAATCACGCATTCCATCTCTCTTGTTCTTTCTCATTCTCTCTCTCTTTCTCTTTCTCTTTCTCTCTCTCTTTCTTTCTCCCTCTCTCCCTCCCTCTGACTTTTCCTTCTTCCTGGTACTCTCACACCCTCTCACGCTCCCTGCCTCTCTTTCTCTTTCTCTTTATCTCTTTCTCTTTCTCTCTCTCTCTCTCTCTTCCTCTCTGTCTCTCTCTCTCTGTCGCTGTATCTCTCTCTGTCGCTGTCTCTCTCTCTCTCTCTCTCTCTCTCTCTCTTCCTCTCTGTCTCTTTCTCTCTCTCTCCCTCTCTCTCTCTCTCTCTCTCTCTCTCTCTCTCTCTCTCTCTCTCTCTCTCTCTCTCTCTCTCTCTCTCCTCTCTCTCTCTCTCTCTCTCTCTCTCTCTCTCTCTCTCTCTCTCTCTCTCTCTCTCTCTCTCTCTCTCTCTCTCTCTCTCTCTCTCTCTCTCTCTCTCTCTCTCTCTTCCTCTCTGTCTCTCTCTCTCTGTCGCTGTATCTCTCTCTGTCGCTGTCTCTCTCTCTCTCTCTCTCTCTCTCTCTCCTCCTCTCTCTCTCTATCTCTCTCTCTCTCTCTCTCTCTCTTCCTCTCTGTCTCTCTCTCTGTCGCTGTCTCTCTCTCTCTCTCTCTCTCTCTCTCTCTCTCTCTCTCTCTCTCTCTCTCTCTCTCTATCTCTATCTCTATCTCTCTCTGTCGCTGTCTCTCTCTCTCTCTCTCTCTCTCTCTCTCTCTCTCTCTCTCTCTCTCTCTCTCTCTCTCTCTCTCTCTCTCTCTCTCTCTCTCTCTCTCTCTCTCTCTCTCTCTCTCCATCACTCATCCTCATTGATCCTCTACCGGTAATCCATTCCCAGTCAGTAAGAAAGCATTATTCTACATATCCTGTAATTACGCTAACAGTTGGCGAAACGGGATGACTTTAGCTGTGCCTTTGAGTTGCGTCCGTGCATGTCTGTAGAAACCGTACCTGATATGGTGAGGAAGCGGGGATGGTGACTTTGGCAGTCCTCCATGCTGAGCCTTGATCACCTGTCTTGCTCCACAGGCGCGTGATGTGGCCTGAAACGTTCATGTCCAGTGACAGATTGCCGGTGCCACTTCCGAACACAGACATGCGGTAGGAGAACTGCATCTTCCCACCCTTGCGACTCGATGGCAAGTACGTTGGGCTCAGGAGACTGGCCTGATTGCGTATTGCTCCTCCACTCCCACTCACATTCAAATACATATAGTAACCTGGTGGGGAAGGATAACAATCAAAATCCAGTCATTGATGAAAACAACAGATGCTGCCTGGCACTACACTGACGGAGTGATGACCAATACTTTTCAGGAATTGCAAAACATTGGTTGGTTGGTTGATCGTTATTGGTATTCACACATATCCGCCGGATGAGTACGCGTGGACCATGCAACATGGGGACCCACTAATACAAACCAGCATAATAATAATGTTCCCTCAGCAATAAAAGCAAGCAAAGATAAAATAATGAGAGCCCCGTCAGCGAAAACAAAGTGAAAGGGATTAGGACACAGGCAACGAAAATAGTTCCAAAGCATAGCAGGGGGATAGCATGTGTGCGCACGGGTACGACAGTTAATACGGCAACGCAGCAGCACGGAAAATACAAAAGTGCCACGGCAGCAGCCAAGAGTGATCAAACACTAAAAAAGCAGATTCCATGATTTTTTTTTGTATTGTCGTCGCAGGTAAACATTTCCGGCGAGAATGCATGCGTACACGCGAGTGGGCAGGCAAGCATGTTAGGGATAGGTCTATTATTATGGCCAAGCTAGTTGACAGTACTATTACACAATGAACTCCATCGGTGTCTATCATCTGCTACCACCCGACGGTTTTTGGTGTGATTTAATTCGCACAATATACTGGAACTAGGCCCAAAGATATAGAGGCGAATGGACTAGTCGCATTTAGAAAAGAAAGACCGAAACACCTTCAGGCTCCTTAAGTACAGTTCTTACAGATTGCAAAGCGACAGAAGAACACTATCACCCCACAATGCGGAATACGTCCTGAAGGACGTAGTAGGCGACGTTGGCACTGAACTTACCAGAGGAGTTCTTGAAGGTTGCGTCATGTGCTGTTCCCGTGCCGTTAGTTGATGGGCTTCCGTTTGTGATGTTCCACAGCAAGTCACCAGATCCGCTATACCAACCCATGGGATCACCCATCTCGAAGTCTGTCGGTTGCACGACGCATGCTGCGGGTGACAATACATGGGTACTTCTCTGATTAGTGCACGAAGTTTGTCTCCTGAATACTCATTGGTCCCAAATAGTCAATTTGTACGAAGAGGGATGTAGCAACAACAAAAAGCGCTGCCTCTGTACTGGAAAAAAACTAAAGTTGGTATTTGATAAATTTAACAACCATAATATAATATAGCTATGAATAGGATGAAGGCCGCAGACATCACGCAACTACGTTACTTGTTTGACATGTATTTACTGTGTATTTTATAACAAAAATACATGTGTTGATTGTAAGAAGTCAGCTGTGTATCTACACTTGTTATCTCGTCCTGACTGTCTTAGTGTGTATGATGACTCTCATTTTTCTGTACTGTGTCGTGCGCGTTATGTCCTACAGTTGAAAGTCCTTAAGGCAGTTTGTATACGTATTCATAAGCCTGTTTTGTGTAAGCAGAAGGAGCACGTTGTCGCACTGAAGTTGTATTCGTAGGTTGACACGTCGTTTAGTGCCTTCTCGCCTTTGGTTACGTAATCTTGTTACCTTTTTGCGTTTCCTCTAGTGGTTTTATTGCACTTGTATCTTGTTGTTATTTCTAACACCTTTCTATTTACAGTACTTAACTTCAGTTTCTTTGGTTGTATCCTTAGTTCCGTATTTTTCCCACTGATGATAGGCACAAGAAAATCGATTATGGGTTTTCAATAATATTTTTGTTATGAAATACACAGTAAATACATGTCAAAACAAGTAACGTAGTTGCGTGATGTATGCGGCCTTCATCCTATTCATAGCTACATTGTATATTAAAAATATTATCTCCACGTAGATTAATCATGTATATCATCATCTTAATCCACCACATGCCCTCTCTGCACCACCCCTGCTGCATCATATACATGTACTTCAATCAACAAACTTGTGGAAGGTATTAACTGATTTCCTGGTAGTCATACATGTGCATGTACATGTACATCATCTTGATTCCAGGAAGGTTCGATTACGACCAAAACTTTTGAATAGTTGAAATCATATCGAAGTATTGCTGGACAGCAGCCATTGTAAATGCTGTGGCAAGCAGTGTAAACTATACAACTCTACGCACGGCTAGTGTCCATCTCAGTGCCGTGAACCTGCAGTGATCCTACTGAGTCTGTATAATCATTACTATATCATTCGGTTCATGTAATTGTGTTGATGCTTCACAAATGTGTTAATTCGCCCGTGCAAGAGGCTCAAGCTTCAAAAAGATACAAAACACTGCAGAACAGGATGAGTGTGTAGTTCAAGCACAGTGCAGTACTCACGTGATTCCGGGCCTGAAACAAAACAGAAAGAAAAACAACTATTGAGCATAACAAGAGAATGATACACAAGTACTGTATACAAACTTTCAGAGTAAAATAAAAAATAAATAAATTTCACGGTTCGCGCGAGACTCGGCTGGAAGCCCAGTTTTCCGCATCCGTCATTGGAACGCAGAGTAAAAATTATATTCTTGTAAAACGTGTTGTATTTGAACAGGCAGCGAGGTGACAAAAGTTCTCAAGGATTCAATAAACAGAATCAGCTGAAGCGTCATGTTTCATGTCCATTACACATGTAGTTATATATTTATCCATCACCACTTTCTTTAGAATCTGTTCGTGAAATCTCAATAAACCCTTCATAACATGACGCTCCAGCTGGTTCTATTTATTGCCATTCTTAAACCTGTTATGCTTCATTTAAATTGGGAATTAACATAGACATAAGGTTGATAACAGTGGAGTCACTGGAGACGTAAAAAAGGTGAAGGAAAGTGCGGAAAAGTAGAGAAAAGAAAGAGCATAGTAAAGAAACTTTCAAACCCTTCCCAGGCGTTAATGTATGCTGCAAGGCGTGAGATTTGAAATCAAAATACTGGGTTTGAACCCCTTTCTTCTGGCGATGATAATACCCACAGAAGTGCTCCTGTCTCTTAGCCATCGGAAACAGTCTGCATAAATGGTTTGACATAAAACAGCGGGTCCCTGGCAACCTACATATGCATGCTCGGTTGTGCCGAAATGGAATAGACAACACCGTTACCTAGTAAATGCGGTTGCCTCTTCATGAAACCGAGATTACGCTGTGTATTGTAGCTATTGTTTGTGTGCACACAATGTCCTGTGACGGAAAGATCCATCTTTATAAACTCTAAGTTTTTCCTTTACCTTGTTTATTTAAAATGACCCTACAACTCACCCTTTTTCTGATGAGTTCTTAGTAGGCGATACAGCTGTCAGAAGGATTGAAACTTCAGTGCCCAAAGTAACCTCTTGTTGCTGTTGTAGGAAAGTGAGTGTATATCATGTACATGTATGTGGCCGGCAACAGAGCGCAGTGTGGTGGTGGTGAATGTCTACGCAGAAACTGTCAATGGCCAAACGCTGCTACATACACTCTGGTTTATTATAACGTTTAGCACTACAGTGAAATAACCTGTCTAAGACGACCGCTCAAGGGACCTTCAAAACGTGGTTTCTGTTACCAGGTGGTCTCCTTATCCAGGGTCATTTGACTGGAAATAGCTTTCCTTGGTGCTGGTTTCAGTGGTCTTTTAGAACAGGTGGTCGCCTTATCCGAGTGGTCGCCTTGACATATTTTACTGTATTATGAATATGCTCTTTGTTCGCATTCCGGTGTCTCAGCAAGATGCTGACTGGCTTGGATGAGAAGGGAAACAGAGAGAAATGTCATCAATAAAGTAAGTTCTAGATCCCTACGAAGTAGACCGACTCGTGTACATGTACGTGAGTCTTCCAAGAACACGTGACGTGCACGTGCTATTTAGCGTGTACTGGTCCTATTTTCTGGGCTAAGCATTCGAGTAAAGAAACATCAGGTTGATGAGAGACAACGTTTACTACGGGAATCAATAGGAGCTTTCCTATTGCATAAACGTCCCGAGGCTTTTCTTTTTCTAAATACGTCGAAGTACATGTAATATTATTCCGTCTACTCGCATTTTTTTAAGAAGAAGGGAGATGAGAATCGTAGGAAGAGGGAAGAAAAGTGACAGGGCAGCACAACAATGGGAAGAGTAAGGGGCTCCAAGAAGGAACCTGTGCCAATGAACCAAGCCAGCATGGCTGACCTGTGGTCTCGCCGTGACGGCGAACATCCCTAATCATGAACTGAGAGATTATAGTATAGTTTACATTCATAATTCCGCAAAATAAAATGAGGGAAAACCAAGAGGCGTATACGGCCAACAACGTGGGTACTGGGTGGAGTGGATCCTATACTTGACGCGACCTCTGTATGCGACACACGACTGCAGACTGAGGAGGGAGTCTTTTGAGAGCGATCTTCACGGGCACATCACCTATTTGTGAGTTTGCATTTGTATTGCATTTTCATCCGTTGTGTTTCCTTTGCCCGTAAAGGAGGCTGGAGAGTGTTCCTACTATTCCCTGTTTGCATGTATTTAACACAGCAACACAGTTGTTTGATAAGACACGCGCGTCCGGTGTGCATGGCAGCGGATAGCACCTATTTACGTTCTTGTCCCTTGGCTTCCAGGGATCACCAGTGTGAATACCCAAAAGCCGATGCTAACGAAAAAACTCATCTACCCAAAGCATGCACATGTAGTAGCATGTGTGTGGAAGTCGCTGACCCAATGTACGCAAATGAACGCAAAATTTTGTTCGAGGCCGATGCGGAGGATTCTACACGTAGCTGGCTGTCCGGAAGGAAGGAACACGACTGATGTGGTAGCATATGTTTGCGTAGTCCTCCATACTGGCACTTAGCAGTACTACTGGCGGCTGGAGACCAGATTCGATTCCACGCTGAATCCAACCTAGTGTTTTGCATTGACAGGTGGCGGCTTGTCTCACGATCGGACATAATCACAGCTTATGCAGTATGTGGAAAAACAGGCGATCAGTGAATGGATGTGAATGAGTGTGAACTTATAGAGGGTCAGTGGTTAGGTTATTTTACTTCGCTGAACCACGGGAAGTGTTGGAATTTGTTTCACTTACTGGAAGAATGCACGGGGGTGAATCCAAACCAGAACAGAAGTAGGACACATCCAGCAGCAAGACGAGCGTGCTTGCGTCTAGCAGCCCACGCCATTTGAGATGCTTATGAAGAACCCCCGCCGTTATTGATACACGTAATCCCGGAACGGAGTGGTGATCAAACCCTGCAACGAAAGAGGACAGTTTCACTTGAAGTGCACACAAATTGGTGACTTTTTTCTCCATCAACCACCACCCCACAACTACGCTCTCCAGCCGACCTCGACACGTTGCCACAGCACACCACCCGCAAAGCCACACACCCATTGGTGCACAGTTCCTCGCACCCGAAACAGCCATGTGAAGGACCTGAGTACTGAAGGATGTGTGGCGTTTTCCTTGATGGTGTGCTGTGGCACTGCAACGTGTCGAGGTGGGCTGGCGAGCGCAGTTGTGGAGTTGTGATTTGATGGAGGAAACAATTCTGTTCAAGATAGAATGCTGCTGCTGCTTGCCCTTGTCTAAAAATTGCCGACAACCATAGAACTAGAGGTTTTTTTTATACTTTATTTAAATTCGCAAATCCAAACGAGCACAAATGCTCGTTCTCACTAGGGTAGTGCAATGTACATCTATGTTACGAATGGGCCATGCACAAAACGTGGCGTACGTGACGTTTTCGTCCGGATAGCAATGACAACATGGAACGTGACGGGAAAATCGGGCCCCGTGATACGAAAACGTACACGACGTATCCAGACCCCTGTACAGTGCCGAGGTTCGTTCTGTCGTTCCCGGCAGTTTGTGTCCAAAAGAAGCGGTGCGCACAGCTGTACGAAACGCGTATACGAGGCTGTGTGAATGCACCTGCATGAAAACGACGTCTGCCAGTACGTCGTATTCCAAAACGTGATGCGCATTGTAACGTAGTATGAATAGCCTATTAATTATTAAGCACTGCGTAGTCCCAAGACTTCTCTTGAACACATACACATACGCTGATTCAATATGTGCTCCGAAATGAGAGAATGCAGCGTAAAACTTGAGCATGGCCGCAAACAAAGCACAGTCACGTCACATCTTCAGTACGTTCGACTCCACAAGCTCTTCTAACCTTCGCAGCAATGAATAATACTGTAAACCTGGTTTAAGCGGCCACCCCGCGGTGCAAGCTAAAGCGGTCGTTAAAGCCAGGTGGTCTTTAGAACCAGGTCCCACAGTGTCTGTGTAAAACTGTCGGTGCATGGAAAAACGGCCGTTAAGAGCAGGTGGTCGCTAAACCCAGAGGCCGCTTACAGCAGGTTTTACTGTAGTGGTCTTCAAAGTTGATCAGGGTTCATTATACCGAATTTGAAGGAGGTTATCAGGATGACGACGGCAGTGATTCGACTTCTTTTCGTAATTTCAATACCATCACGTACAAAGGTTATGAGCTGAAGTTCGTGCTATACATTGACCACGAACCAGTCAACCGTCCATCATCAGCAAAGCGTCGCATCCTTAGGCAAGGCATGTGTCGCTTTACTGATGGTGTGCTGTGGCTACGGGTCGAGTTCGGCTGGGGAGCGTAGGTGTGGGATGGTGGTTGATGGAGAGAAAAAGTCTGCATAAGGCCGACTGCTGGTGCTTCTCCGAACTCAACAATGGCATTCCTGGGGCCTAAATTTCACGTTTTGCTGAAAATGATCTCAACCAAAAGGCGCCTTGCTTGACAGACTTCAAGCTGAATTTTTCGTACACAGCTGTTGTCTGCTTCGGTGATATGACACCTTGGTGCATGTACTTAGAGTACACAGGATAAGATTATGGTATTACCAGTTGTCTGGTGATTGACTAAGCACAGACAATGGTGGGACTGCTGTCGACGTGTACACCACAGACTAGCATACTACCTGATGGCCTAACTCTTGCTTCTTTCTTTCTTTTACCCCCCCCCCCGGTCAGTGTTGTGTGCAAGGATACCGAGACCTTTGGTCGGAGGAGTCCACAACGCCCCACCTACACAGCTGCGCTAGTGGATTCTAGTAGCCAGCCCAGACTCAATAGTTGTTTTTTCTGTCAACCCACAACTTTTGTGTTCTATTCGTTTCTTCGTTCTCCCTTCTTGCAACTTTGTTATCTTTCTTGTTCTTATTGTCGTCTCGAGCCGGGTTTGTGTTCTGCTGTACAGGAAACACAATTACTAGTTACAACGAATGTGGTGTTCTGTGTGTTGTTTGGTACACAGTGTATCCAATAAACACATAGGCTCAAAGGAGGTTTACGGATTTATCGCAAATCAGACGTTCTCAGAGTTACTTGTATAATGCAATCATCAGCCGACTTATGACTTCAGCGGGACTTGCACGATATTTATTTTATTTCCTTATTTCATTCCAAGCAGTACATGGCTGGGGTAGCGAATGACCACTTTGCGTGGCGATTGCAATATAAAGCATAATGAACAATACAATTGTACAAATATTGCCATGATGGGCGTGTAGATGGTCACTCGGGTGAGTGAGCTATAAGCGCAGAAAGTAGATATTTTTATGGATATCCAATATACGCAGTCTCAGGACAGCTACAGTAGCAGTTTCGATCTTGTTAGATCTCGACAGCCGAGCTCAGGGTCACTGTCAGAACCGATGGTAATGGGGTAAAGTTGAATGCATTAGTTTAAGATCATCATTTTCCAAAGACCTGTGATAACTGTACAAAGTCTCACCTTCTCACCAGCCTCCAGCACGCGTCTGCAGAATCTTTCTCGCGCACACTCTGCTTCTCCTTCACAACACATGAGCCAGACTGACTGTGGTTGGACAAGTTGCGCTTACTAAACACAGCGACGCGAATTTGCGCTCAAACCGTGTCTCCTTGCTGGTCAAGACGAACAGAAAACGCTTGGCGCTTGCTCTGAAGATAGAGTGTATAAAACAGAGGCGAGCAGGATGCAACAGAGCGCAACTAGGTCTTGATCGGCACAACATCACGCAAGGACAAGTCACTGGCCCGCAGCGAACTTCTGTCGCAACAGCTGGGAATTTCTGCGGGCCTGGCACAATTCGGAAGAATATTCCCAGCCGGCGAGGCATTTTTTCGAGCACCTTTTCTCCACACTTGCAGTTGACGACGGTCAGACGGCTTTCCGATCTCCGCTCTATCCAGTATCCACACTCAAAGTTGCTGCACGCCGTATTGCAGGCAAGGGCTCGAGTTAGAATCTCATCTTCGAGTTACCAGGGCTGAGTAAGGCCACACTGTCACTGCTGCAGTGATGCTGTCAACATGAGACTGATATTTCAATATGCACAGGCCATTTGCCTAAATATAATTTTTTATGTAAACGTTATGCAGCAGGCCCTATCCGTGATATCCTAAAAATGGTAGTGATGTCCACTGGCGCCTTGGCGGGAAAGTAGTGCATGCATAATCTGCATGAGGTGGAATGCTGGTGACTGGTGCTGTGGTCATTGACTGCCTCAGCCATGTAATGCTAGGAATAAAATTGTAAAAAATTCACAGTTTGCGTCAGACTCGTCTAGCTAAAAATAAACTAAAATGCGTTTGTTGACTGAGGCAATGTCAAGCGCATTCACAGGTTAAAACCAGATGAATTCTGGCTATGAGCAAACTAAGGAGCCGAGCTGTGACAGGATTCCTCGCCAGCATCATAATCTACGATGTGCTGTTTAAAATACCACAACCGCCAAATCCTTGCACCACACACAGCTATTTTGCGATACCACGATACCAAGAGCCCTTGTTTATGGACTTCAGATTATTATCTCTCCTTTATTCACTTCTTCCGAAGGCGATAAGCCAGACCCACCGGGAAATATTTCCATGGGTGGGCCAGCAAAAAAGAAAGTTAAAAAACAAAAACAAAAATAAATAAATAAATAAAACCTAAAAACCAAAGGGACAAGAACTAGTTGAAGGAAGAGGAAGAAAGGAAAGAAACTCAATCCGAACTCCAACATCAAAACAATAATAAAGAATTTGCAGTGACAGGCAAAATACATCAACCAATGAAGGGAGTAGTAACAAAGGAAATATCAGTCTTTATCAGTCGTTATTCAAGTCTCTTAGTTATTGAACATGCAAACGCAGCAGAGGTGCATCTACATGTTAAGGATAGTTCTTAGTATTTTAATCGAACCTTGTATAGCCTCCTGTTGTTATTATTATGTCTCCTTTATTCACTTCTTTCGAAGGCGATAAGCCAGACCCACCGGGAAATATTTCCATAGGTGGGACAGCAAAAATAAAGTGAAAAAATAAAAAAGCTAAAAACCAAAGGGACAAGAAATAGGGGAAGGAAGAGGAAGAAAGGAAAGAAACTCAATCCGAACTCCAACATCAAAATAATAATAAAGAATTTGCAGCGACAGGCAAAGTACATCAACCAATGAAGGGAGTAACAAAGGAAATATCAGTCTTTATCAGTCGTTATTCAGGTCTCTTAGCTATTGAACATGCAAACGCAGCAGAGGTGCATCTACATGTTAAGGATAGTTCTTAGTATTTTAATCGAACCTTGGATAGCCTCCTGTTGCACAATAGCCAGATCTCCTCCCTGCACAGTCCGAAGGCATTGAGGAGTCTCTCCCACCAAGCCTCCCAGGGCACCGACAACCACAGGGACCACGTCAACCTGGGTGAGGGACCAAATCCTGGAAATCTCCCGCTTCAAGTCATAATATTTCGAGCGCTTTTCAGCCATTTTCTTATTGATGTTGTTCTCACCAGGAACGCTGATGTCTATAATGTAGGCGACGCGTTCCTTGTCATCAACAAGGAGCAGATCGGGCCTGTTTGCTGATAGTTTCAGGTCAGTTGGGACCGAATACTCCCAATAGAGGCGATACCGATCACTTTTGACCAATGCTTTAAGCTGGTGGTCGAAGCGTGAAGCACCAGTAGGTAGATCTCGTGCTTTACACATTTCGAAGTGCACATACTTTACTATCCGGTTATGTCGTTCAATGTAACTGGTCCGAGCAAGAACTGGGCAGGCACTGACAATGTGGTCAATTGTTTCTAAGCTGCCCTGGCAAAGCCTGCAATTGGCATCAGTTCGAGCAATTGACTTCATTATGGCGTATTGGTAATTTTTCGTTTTGAGGGATTGGTCTTGTGCTGCCATAATCATGCCTTCAGTTGAAGGTTTCAGTGTCCTTGATTTCAACCACATGAAGGTAAGCTCCTTATCTAGGTGATTCTCCTCCAATCGGCTCCAATACCTCACATGCAGCGGCATAGTGGAAAGTGTTTTAGATTTTCGATCGGCACACGCTTGTTTAATGGTATGCTTATTGGGTAAAGCTGGTCCAGCTGCTGGCAGATCCAAACTCGACAGGAACTTAGGGGCCTTTGCAGTTATTGAGTGGCTTTTTGTTGTAGGTTTTTGTTGATGATACTGATAAAGCAGGCTTATTCTGTCTATTGGGCTGGTACTCATGTAGCGGGCCAGGCCACACATGCTCCGGCCGTGCATATCCTCACAAGAGGCTTGGTCCTCACAAGAGACCAAGCCCCGGCCTCCATCTCCCCTCTTCATGTAGAGCCTGTTGACTGAGGCTTTGGGGTGGTGAAATTATTATTATTATTATTATTATTATTAAGTGGTTTGAGGGAAAGAGACAAACGGGAAAAGTCTGAGGAAAAAATTGACTGTCACCACCAGGACTCAAACCAGGGACCTTCGCTTGTAGCCAGCGATGCTCTAACCACTGAGCTATGGTGTAGTCGTCATCCCAGCAGAGGCCTTCAACATTTTCTTCAGACTTCGTAACTCACACTTCCTGTGAATCCACACAGGCGGGTGGGACGCAGCCCTCACTGTAACCCACACACTTCACGTACAAACTAGCACGCGGGGAGCCCCAAGTCATAAAATATTAACTGGTTTGAGGGAAAGAGACAAGCGGGAAAAGTCTGAAGAAAAAATTGACTGTCACTACGAGGACTCGAACCAGGGACCTTCGTTTGTAGCCAGCGATGCTCTAACCACTGAGCTATGGTGTAGTCGTCATCCCAGCAGAGGCCGTTCAACATTTTCTTCAGACTTCGTAACTCACACTTCCTGTGAATCCACACAGGCGGTTGGGACGCAGCCCTCACTGTAACCCACACACTTCACGTACAAACTAGCACGCGGGGAGCCCCAAGTGATAAAATATTAACTGGTTTGAGGGAAAGAGACAAACGGGAAAAGTCTGAAGAAAAAATTGACTGTCACCACCAGGACTCGAACCAGGGACCTTCGCTTGTAGCCAGCGATGCTCTAACCACTGAGCTATGGTGTAGTCGTCATCCCAGCAGAGGCCGTTCAACATTTTCTTCAGACTTCGTAACTCTCACTTCCTGTGAATCCACACAGGTGGGTGGGACGCGTCCCTCACTGTAACCCACACACTTCACGTACAAACTAGCACGTGGGGAGCCCCAAGTCACAAACTATTAACTGGTTTGAGGGAAAGAGACCAACGGGAAATTATAATTATTATTATTACTTCAGTATTATTGAAGTGTGTCGGTACAGTGAGGGCTGCGTCCCACCCGCCTGTATGGATTCACACGAAGTGGGAGTTACGGAGTCTGAAGAAAATGTTGAACAGTCTCAGCTGGGATGACGACTACACCATAGCTAATTGGTTAGAGCATCGCTAGCTACAAGCGAGGGTCCCTGGTTCGAGTCCTGGTGGTGACAGTCAATTTTTTCTTCAGACTTTTCCCGTTTGTCTCTTTTCCTCAAACTAGTGAAGATGTTATGACTTGGGGCTCCGCGCGTGCTAGAGTGTACGTGAAGTGTGTGGGTACAGTGAGGGCTGCGTCCCACCCGCCTGTGTGGATTCACAAGAACTGTGAGTTACGAAGTCTGAAGAAATTGTTGAACAGTCTCTGCTGGGATGACGACTACACCATAGCTCAGTGGTTAGAGCATCGCTAGCTACAAGCGAGGGTCCCTGTTTCGAGTCCTGGTGGTGACAGTCAATTTTTTCTTCAGACTTTTCCCGTTTCTCTCTTTCCCTCAAACTAGTGAAGATGTTATGACTTGGGGCTTGCCGCGTGCTAGAGTGTACGTGAAGTGTGTGGGTACAGTGAGGGCTGCGTCCCACCCGCCTGTGTCGATTCACAGGAAGTGTGAGTTACGAAGTCTGAAGAAATTGTTGAACAGTCTCTGCTGGGATGACGACTACACCATAGCTCAGTGGTTAGAGCGTCAATAGCTACAAGCGAGGGTCCCTGGTTCGAGTCCTGGTGGTGACAGTCAATTTTTTCTTCAGACTTTTCCCGTTTGTCTCTTTCCCTCACACTAGTGAAGATGTTATGACTTGGGGCTCCCCGCGCGCTAGAGTGTACGTGAAGTGTGTGGGTACAGTGAGAGCTGCGTCCCACCCGCCTGTGTAGATTCACAGGAAGTGTGAGTTACGAAGTCTGAAGAAATTGTTCAACAGTCTCTGCTGGGATGACGACTACACCATAGCTCAGTGGTTAGAGTATCGCTAGCTACAAGCGAGGGTCCCTGGTTCGAGTCCTGGTGGTGACAGTCGATCTTTTCTTCAGACTTTTCCCGTTTGTCTCTTTCCCTCAAACTAGTGAAGATGTTATGACTTGGGGCTCCCCGCGTGCTAGAGTGTACGTGAAGTGTGTGGGTACAGTGAGGGCTGCGTCCCACCTGCCTGTGTGGATTCACAGGAAGTGTGAGCTACGAAGTCTGAAGAAAATGTTGAACAGTCTCTGCTGGGATGACGACTACACCATAGCTCAGTGGTTAGAGCATCACTAGCTACAACAAGCGACGGTCCCTGGTTCGAGTCCTGGTGCTGACAGTCAATTTTTTTCAGACTTTTCCCGTTTGTCTCTTTCCCTCAAACTAGTGAAGATGTTATGACTTGGGGCTCCCCGCGTGCTAGAGTGTACGTGAAGTGTGTGGGTACAGTGAGGGCTGCGTCCCACCTGCCTGTGTGGATTCACAGGAAGTGTGAGCTACGAAGTCTGAAGAAAATGTTGAACAGTCTCTGCTGGGATGACGACTACACCATAGCTCAGTGGTTAGAGCATCACTAGCTACAACAAGCGACGGTCCCTGGTTCGAGTCCTGGTGCTGACAGTCAATTTTTTCAGACTTTTCCCGTTTGTCTCTTTCCCTCAAACTAGTGAAGATGTTATGACTTGGGGCTCCCCGCGTGCTAGAGTGTACGTGAAGTGTGTGGGTACAG